GACAGCATTCCTATTATGGTGTCACGCACTATGAAAACTCGGAAGTTCAAATTGCTGTATTTTCGAAATGAAACATGCTACGGGAATGGAAACTTGTTCAAAGATTTATTTTTTGTTTATCTTCAACTTAATATAAATAATAATTCGTAAAACCTCGCTATTTTGACTTTTACAATTTGATGACGTCACTGTGAGAACCATCCATAGCTCTTCTCGGCGTTCGCGCTTTGAATGCTCCCGGCTGGAACAACGATTCCATTCTCAAGCCTTATCGTGTAACTTTTACTGAAACTTTTTGTTGCAAAATAAACATACTACACTAGCTGAAAATGGTGAAAATTTAATAAGCGCCCACTCTCAAGGTCCAAAAACTTAATAGGCACCCAGGACGGTTAATCGAATAAATACGGTATATACGTATGAAAGTACGTGGAGATACAAATGGGAGATGCTCTTGGACGTAGTAACCAACTAAGGAATGGTGCACATGATATGATTTCGTGCTTGAAGCAGGAAAAGCCACTTTTCATATTTATTCTTCTAAATAAAACCTTTATTAGTAAATGGAATATTTGTTGTGAAGTATTTTGAAAGTTATTTTCAAGACGGATATATCTTATCTTTTAAGTTTAGTTTTTGTTTCCTTAAGTCTTGTTTTTGTCCACGTACTCTTTTCCTGTTGTGATCTTTTCTTTTTACTTGTACTTGAATTTTTGCTTAGCTCGCGAATTTACTCATTGCCATATTAACAATTAGCTTAGCATTGTCAGATGTTAGCTTTTTACAGGTGGACGTGTTTGTGTGGTGTTAGAGCTGACCTTGGTTGGTAGAACTGAGAAAGTCGGTAAGTAAGTAGAAGTTGTAAGAAGATTGAGAAGAATAAAGGCTAATATGTAAATCAGATTCCTGGTACCTCATCGTGTGACGAGCGAGTTGCTCGAACACACCCCCACATATTTATGGTACTTTGTACTTCTTATTAAACAGTTAAAATGTTCCACAACCTAAAAAGCTCCAACAACAATATATTTTAGTATATTAATATATTGCAACACGATTAGATAAAATTTGTCAGCAACCAAACAAATTTGGAATGACATTCCTCTCTCACTTCGTAGTTCACTTACTCTTTCTAGTTATAAACATAAACCGAGAGATTATTTTCAATCATTATAAGTTTAAACTAATAAGTTGAACTCAAATTTTTCTACCTTCAAACTCTTTTCTTTATTANATATTTGTTGTGAAGTATTTTGAAAGTTATTTTCAAGACGGATATATCTTATCTTTTAAGTTTAGTTTTTGTTTCCTTAAGTCTTGTTTTTGTCCACGTACTCTTTTCCTGTTGTGATCTTTTCTTTTTACTTGTACTTGAATTTTTGCTTAGCTCGCGAATTTACTCATTGCCATATTAACAATTAGCTTAGCATTGTCAGATGTTAGCTTTTTACAGGTGGACGTGTTTGTGTGGTGTTAGAGCTGACCTTGGTTGGTAGAACTGAGAAAGTCGGTAAGTAAGTAGAAGTTGTAAGAAGATTGAGAAGAATAAAGGCTAATATGTAAATCAGATTCCTGGTACCTCATCGTGTGACGAGCGAGTTGCTCGAACACACCCCCACATATTTATGGTACTTTGTACTTCTTATTAAACAGTTAAAATGTTCCACAACCTAAAAAGCTCCAACAACAATATATTTTAGTATATTAATATATTGCAACACGATTAGATAAAATTTGTCAGCAACCAAACAAATTTGGAATGACATTCCTCTCTCACTTCGTAGTTCACTTACTCTTTCTAGTTATAAACATAAACCGAGAGATTATTTTCAATCATTATAAGTTTAAACTAATAAGTTGAACTCAAATTTTTCTACCTTCAAACTCTTTTCTTTATTACTTTTTGCACACTATCATTAATTGTTATGTTTGTTTTGCTTTATATGCAGTAGTAGTTCTTTATATGTTAATAGTTTACCTTTTCTCTGTTAATCTTGTAATTATATTATTAATTTTTATTCTCATTGTAACTTAGCAGCACATTGTAACTCTCTGACCTACGCCATATAAGCCTCTGGCTTTGGCATCTTATTATCGATAACTTGTGCTTTGTGTACTTATTTATCAATAAAGATTTGAGAGATATCACTCTCCATGCTTCGCCTTTTTATATTCTAAATCAGATTTTGTTTATTGGTTTTATGTTTTACTTATTCCATAAAGGATACTTTAGCTAAATCAGGTTAAAGATCGATTTCAGTTTTTAGATCACTAAAAGATGTATGGAACTTCCATGAACTTATGATATACTTTCATAAATCCGAGATACGTCCCGTGACAGACCAACGAAAGGGGGATTTCAAGCCAGACACATTGTCCAGTTTTCAAAAGACTACAGCCCAGGGGTGCCTACCATTCAGACACAAACCACCGGGGTGGAAATCTTGTGCACTGACAAACATAAAACCATAAAATTTGACGTGGTGCCGGGAGAACGACCCAAAAGTACATCCAGCTCAGTTGACAGACTAAAAGGATTAGAAAAATACAAATCATACAAATCACAACTTGAAAAAAAAAGCATTGTGTTTTACCCTTCTTCATATCCTTTCCTGTCTTTCAAAAATCGGGAAAGTCTACGTGCCTCAGTTTAGCGGTTTGGAGAATGTAAAATGGTCATTAGTTTAAAGACATGAGTTTCAAAAACCCTCCAAAAACAGTCCGAAAAGGTAACAACTTCAGTTACATAAAGTCCATTATAATAAGCCGGCTACGTCTGTTTTCGCTCTGCGATTGGTTAACCTTGCGGTTCATGAACTGACTGTACGGAAAAAGAAATTCAAGCTGGCAGGGATTCGAGACGTTTTGCCAAATAAAGCGGAAGATCGAGTCCTTCGACAATATAAATGTTAACAATTAAACTCACCGAGAAAAGATTTTTTACTATTGGCATTGTTTTTTTTTAAGACGCCCAAGGAAGAAAGATAGAAGCAACTTTAAGCCAAACACAGTGTTCAGTTTTCAAATATACGCCAGCGTTACATTGTCGAGCTAAACTTACAGTGCTCTTAGTTTAAACTTTTTTCAACATGGCGCATTTGACTGTTTGATTTCATTTGCACCAGGAGCCTCCTGCTTGCCCTACATCATGTTCAGGAGGTATTCCTTTTATTTTGTTTTTCTCAATATCTGTTGACTGATGAAACGGGATTTAAGCCAATCAGAAACGGAGAAATATTATACAACTATCCCCCGAAGGGAGGTGAATACTGGTGGTGATACCGAGACGTGAAGCGTCGAGGTATATATATCTAGCGCTCTGAAACGACTCCTAGGGGGATAGTTGGTTTAGTGTTTACCAAATCAGTTGGATAAAAATAAAAAAAGTAATTTTTTGTAAATAACAGACCTCACTTAGTTAAGAGTTTGTTTACGTTTCAATTGACAGTGTTCCTGGGATCATTTTTTTATGATTTTGTTGCAAATTCAGCAAGAAAATAATTTTCTACCTACCAGTAAACACCCACAAGACAAAGTTCGTCGCTTTCTTGGTATTTTTTGTACGACTGCTTCATTTATCGCTCAAATCAAGAGCCATGGCTCTTGCTCAAATAAATGTCTCGAAACGAGACCCCATCTATAGCTAAGGGTATTCCGAGTTACGGGAGCCAACCAAAACGCGCGAAAATTGCTATTCACTGATTTGGTAAACACTAATCAGAAATATTCTTCATTGGCCGAAAGCCGACCACTTTACCTGCAAATAACTACTTACAACTAATTGTCTGCTCATGCGCAATGTCGGCCAACTTGACTGCAAATAACATCCTGTTTACGCGTAAATCACGTAAATGAAACCACACTTTTCTCCTTCTTCGATTCCGATCGCTCCGATCATGCGTGAAAATGGCAGATCGCTTCGCTTCCCGAAGATATTGTGATCGAATGATAAAAAAATTATTGAACTCGGTTACCGCAAAATATCGTGATATGTCAGTGTCTCGCAGATCATTGTTAATTATTGAGAATATACTAAAAAAGTTATCACAACGTGGATTTTTCGCGCGCTCTAGCTCTGAGTCTCCGGAAGAGGGAGATTTGACACTTTCATGTTAAGTCAACATATAGTCTCCCTGCAAAGTCAAAGAAAATGTCGGACGCTTTTAGTCAATGTTGCGCTCGTTTCAAGGAGGCAATCATTGTCACTGGACCAGAAAAAGGTTATGAAGCGAAGGGAAAAGAGAGGAGGATTCTGTTCACTTTAGAAATTCCTTACCCCTTTTTTAAAGAGGTGCACCAAGTTTTTCAAGAAGGGTTCGTGAGTTCTACTGCCACTTCCGGTGAGAATTCTTTGACCGAGCATGGTGGAGNACCCAAAAACAAAGTTCGTCGCTTTCTTGGTATTTTTTTGTACGACTGCTTCATTTATCGCTCAAATCAAGAGCCATGGCTCTTGCTCAAATAAATGTCTCGAAACGAGACCCCATCTATAGCTAAGGGTATTCCGAGTTACGGGAGCCAACCAAAACGCGCGAAAATTGCTATTCACTGATTTGGTAAACACTAATCAGAAATATTCTTCATTGGCCGAGAGCCGACCACTTTACCTGCAAATAACTGCTTACAACTAATTGTCTGCTCATGCGCAATGTCGGCCAACTTGACTGCAAATAACATCCTACTTACGCGTAAATCACGTAAATGAAACCACACTTTTCTCCTTCTTCGATTCCGATCGCTCCGATCATGCGTGAAAATGGCAGATTGCTTCGCTTCCCGAAGATATTGTGATCGAATGATAAAAAAATTATTGAACTCGGTTACCGCAAAATATCGTGATATGTCAGTGTCTCGCAGATCATTGTTAATTATTGAGAATATACTAAAAAAGTTATCACAACGTGGATTTTTCGCGCGCTCTAGCTCTGAGTCTCCGGAAGAGGGAGATTTGACACTTTCATGTTAAGTCAACATATAGTCTCCCTGCAAAGTCAAAGAAAATGTCGGACGCTTTTAGTCAATGTTGCGCTCGTTTCAAGGAGGCAATCATTGTCACTGGACCAGAAAAAGGTTATGAAGCGAAGGGAAAAGAGAGGAGGATTCTGTTCACTTTAGAAATTCCTTACCCCTTTTTTAAAGAGGTGCACCAAGTTTTTCAAGAAGGGTTCGTGAGTTCTACTGCCACTTCCGGTGAGAATTCTTTGACCGAGCATGGTGGAGGGGCACGTTTTTCCTCAGCAAACGCAGAAGGAAACGACTTGTCATCTACATTTGCCTCGTCTGGCACCAAAAGGTACACGTACACAGATTTCGTGGAAAAATGCATATTTGGTGAATTCTTTGCTTTCAGCGATGATCAAATTATTCGAAAACAAATCGACTAGCCTTGTTAAAAATCTCCTACAAGGTGTCTAAGCAGTATACAAAGACCAATGGAAGGGCAAGAAAAGCTTTAGATGAACGAATGCGGAAATTTCATGTAATGGAGGGTCAGGCGAAATCTGTTCAAGAACTTTGCAATGAAATAAAAAACCTGCGTGATGAGCTACAGGAATTGAGATCAAAATATGAGAATAATTAATTCGTGGAGGAAAAAAACATAGGACCGACAACGAGATTGTGTTGGCAGTAACTCAAAGGACAAGATCACTCAAAATTTACAGGATCAATCAGTTCAAAGAACTAGAGATGATTTGATGAAATGTGTTCCTGAATGCATTAAGGCAAAAATACGGGGTGGGTAGAAAGTGAAGACCTAAGAGCTAAGACCCAAAAACAAAGACCCCTCTCAAAATCACTTATAAATATCTAGAAATGGGTATCTCGACCTTAGATGTGTAAGAAACAACAATAATCTTCAATTATACAAACTTTTGACCAGGGTCTTCGTTTTCTAAATAATCCCCCCAGTGTGTAGACAACAAAGACCCCCCCTCAAAATCACTTGGAAACGGCTGGAAACTGCTTTTAATGACTTCTAGACACTAAAGGAATGTAAGAAACAACACAGCTCCTGACGATTTCCAGTTATACAAAATTTTGACCAGGGTCTTTGTTTTCTACACAATCCCCCC